AAAAGTAGAGGAAGTTGTATGATTTTCATGTTATAATATTGCCGGAAAATATGTTAAAACATCTGGAACAGCGATTATCACTTTCTTTTGTGTGAATATTTGGAAAAGTGCTAGGGAAAGGTTAGCGCAATTAGAACTTCCTCCTGATATACCTGTGATGAAGGAACCGAATGCTTCTGAGTGGCATCAGCGGTTACAGGAAGTGCGAGACCATATATAGGATGACGCAAATTGCGGATAGATACAGAGAATACCCAGACAACTTTTAAATGTGAATAGAATAGGAGACAAAGTGAGCTCAGGTGAAACATTAAGTGTGCTTGGTAACTAAAGAAACAATTATTAACAAAAGGTAGATTCTATAGACGATTTAAGAATGTGAAAAATGATGTCATAGCAATTTGCCAACACCTGATTAATAAATTCATTACAAAATTTTTCTACGCACCTTATTCATAAGAATTAGTCCCATGTTAGTTTTTGTTATTTTCTATAATCGAATAATTTTTTGGTTATTTCTATAATCGAATAAGTCCTTAAAAGGGGAAAGATTTTTATACATTCCTTACTTGCATCAACCCATGACAACATTTATGAAACGTTTCCTGACAACCTAATTACGAGCTACAAGAACGTTTCCCATAATCGCAATATCATCACTTGAAGTGCGTCACGGTATTAACTCATCCCCCCACCCCAATTTAGACGAGATGTGAAACAAGGTCTTTTTTAGATGGGGACCCGAGCGCGTACGCCCGAGACAAGGACAAAAAATTGCCCTCAGCCCAGCAAACCGTCGGTTGTGCTGGCCTCGGTGCGAGCACCGATCCCTCCCTCTGGTGCAATGGGAAGTTGCAGCCTCGGGCAGCTGTTCTCCGGGGTTGGACACCTCTCAGTATGATTTTCTCAGTTGCCCCTCTGACCTTTGACAGTGAAGCCCCTGAGCGCACTCTGTCCAATGACAGAGACGTAACTGAGAGATGATAAGTCTGCGTTAGAAACTCATCCAGGGAGGAATTTACGCACTGAAGTGCATCGTTTCATGAGTTGTTAGTTGATTTTGTTTAGTGGAATATCCACGTCTATGGCTTATTTAATGCCGACATCCAATTATTTTGAATGCAATATAATGGATTCGACTACAGATAAAAAGTATTTTTGATCAGATTGCTTTGAAAATGTATTGTTGGAAATTTTATTATAAATATACATTGTTGGTGGCTTTATATAAATTGTATTCGTATCAAATGACAATTGGAAAAAAATCTTACATTTTGCCGACGCGTTTCGTCCTCCGACTTTTCAAGGCAAAAATGAAATGGAAATGTTTTTGTTGTTATAGTTACATTAAAAATCCAAATTTAAAAAAAGACTGACCCTTCTGTCTAAGCCTTTTTTCTGGTTAATGTAAATTACCTTTATAGTAAGGGATTATTATTATTTTTATTTTTTTTTGGAATTTAACTATATTGTCGACATGGAATTTGGATTTTTAATGTAACTATAACAACAAAGACGAAGCGCGTCGGCAAAATGTAAGATTTTTTTTCCAATTGTCATTTTCTACCAATCTGTCTTGTCCACCGAAATTTATCTGGCAATTTAACTATATTGTCGACATGGAAAAAAAAATCCGTTACTATAAAGGTAATTTACATTAACCAGAAAAAAAAGGCTTAGACAGATGCGTCTATCTTTTTAAATTTGGATTTTTAATGTAACTATAACAACAAAAACATTTCGATTTCATTTTTGCCTTGAAAAAACGGAAGACGAAACGCGTCGGCAAAATGTAAGATTTTTTTTCCAATTGTCATTTGATACCAACCTTTCTTGTCCACAGAATTCATCTGGGAATTTAACTATAAATTGTATTGCTGATATTTTTTCTATAAAAATATATATTTATACTTAATAGTCTTTTGATTTTTTGGGGGTAGTTCACTATTTGCCAATAGTTGGGATATTAACAGGTGGACCTGAAACGGAAGCCATTAATAAGTATTCCTTGCTACTCAAAACCTCAAATCTCTCTATCAGAGGCCTTGCTGCCTGATGTAGTTTATCGTCGTACCAACGAGTATTGCTTCACACGTTGAACATTTTGAAGCTGAAAAGTACCAACCATGAACAAGTAGACAGACTTGACACAAATTAGGATGAGATTTGAATAATATTTTATAGTCGTGGAACACTCAAAGAGCTTATCTGATCTTTTAATTAACAATTATAATTCATCAGGGTATTAAAACAGGAAAATCTAGATTTTTTTATAGGTAGAGTTAGTTACAAATTACTGTATTAAATTAAAGCAAATGTGCAAACACAACAAAGCAGAAGCAATCCGCGGTTTTTATTTATTATCATAACAGGACATATGGTCATTCATTGGCGTATAGAAAAAAAACTAATTTGTACCCTATGTTATATGACATTGAAATATGGAAGCTCAGACTGACCTATAAATTTACATTGTGTTCTGTACAGTTAAATAGATCGCATGTCCTTTGCAAAGTCATATGAAAAGAAAGTGAGTGTATATAATAAATCTGATTGATTAAACATATTTTTAAATAACTTATCTGTTGATATCCGATGTAACGTTTTCAGCTCGTAAAACTTTGAGGAAAAGAATTGGTCGATGGGAAACCCGTTCGTTGGAAGATATTGCATTAAGGGTGCACTTTGTTTGTTCAGATTGTACAAATTTCGTTTGAGTTGTCAAAACATAGGGAGGCAGATGTTGCGATAACGAGCCAAAATCAACAAACATTTTCCATCAGAAAAGCAAAATATTTCTTCGAGAAACGCTTGTGGGAAACACGCACCTGCTTTACTTGATCGAAGAAATATTTTCGTGCACATTCGTTATTTATCTTTTTAATCTCTCTTTTTTCTTTCGTTCTTTCTTTCTTTTGTTGCTCAGGGTCTTTCTGTAGTGACATGTTCTTCATTTATTTTACTTCTTTCTTTCTTTCTTTCTTTCTTTCTTTCTTTCTTTCTTTCTTTTCTACTTTCTTTCTTTTTGTTTGTCTCACGGGATATTTTTGTTGCATTACGTTCTTCATTTTTTTCTTTCTTTCTTTATTTCTTTCTTTCTTTCTTTCTTTATTTTGTTGTCCAGGGTATTTTTTGTAGCGTCACGTTCTTGTTTATTGGTTTCTTTCTTTCTTTCTTTCTTTCTTTCTTTCTTTCTTTCTTTCTTTCTTTCTCCGTGGGTAATTCTGTTACATGACGTTCTTCATTTCTTTCTTTCTTTCTTTATTTATTTATTTATTTATTTATTTATTTTGTTGTCCAGGGTATTTTTTGTAGCGTCACGTTCTTGTTTATTGGTTTCTTTCTTTCTTTCTTTCTTTCTTTCTTTCTTTCTTTATTTCTTTCTTTCTCCCTGGGTAATTCTGTTACATGGCGTTCTTCATTTCTTTCTTTCTTTCTTTCTTTCTTTATTTATTTATTTATTTATTTATTTATTTATTTTGTTGTCCAGGGTATTTTTTGTAGCGTCACGTTCTTGTTTATTGGTTTCTTTCTTTCTTTCTTTCTTTCTTTCTTTCTTTCTTTATTTCTTTTCTTTTCTCCTGGGTAATTCTGTTACATGACGTTCTTCATTTCTTTTTTCTTTTCTTTCTTTCTTTATTTATTTATTTATTTATTTATTTATTTTGTTGTCCAGGGTATTTTTTGTAGCGTCACGTTCTTGTTTCTTTCTTTCTTTCTTTCTTTCTTTTCTTTCTTTCTTTCTTTCTTTCTTTCTTTCTTTCTCCCTGGGTAATTCTGTTACATGACGTTCTTCATTTATTTTCTTTCTTTATTTTTTTCTTTCCTTCTTTATTTCATCAATTATTTATTTATTTATTTTGTCTTCCAGGCTTTATTCTATTCTTCTTTTCAATATTTTCTTCATCTATTTTTTTTTAATCATTTTAATTTTTCATTATTCTTTGTTTTTATTTTCTTCATTTATTAAGCTTCATTTTCTTTCATTCTTTTTTTTTCATATTTAATTTTTCTTCTTTCTTTCTTTCTTTCTTTCTTTCTTTCTTTCTTTCCCTAATTATTTTTCATCCCATCCATTTCTTTTGCGACTTGTTCTTCATTTATTTTTATTTTTCCTTCTTTCGTTCTTTTGCTGGTTTTTAATTGCAAATTTTACCTTTTCTTATTAAAATAATATTATTTCTCGTTCTGCTACTCCGCTTAGTCATGTATCCTTACTATTCTTCATGACACCATCATCTTCTCTATAATTATTCTCCTATTCCTTATCGTGATTTTTCTTTACTTATTATTTTCTGGAATTTCTTTACTTATACTTCATTCATGCCAACACTTTTTTTTCACTTAGTCATATTCCTTTTCATTTATTTCAAAGTATTGCATTTCATCTTCTTTATTCTCTTAATTGAGTATTTCCTTTCTGTGATGAATAATTGTCAATATTCTTGTATTATTTCTAATTATTTTTCTCGTCTTTATTGATATAAATGTTATTATAGACACACCATTTCGACCAAGAACTCTCTGGTCATCATCTGGTGTCAATTGATCACTTGACAAGGGATATCTGCTATTTTGATATTTTTCCCGTGTGATATAGGTTATGCTGAATTAGTTCGTCACTCACCAGATACAAGAGTTAAACTCACGACTACTAGATGTTAGTAACACGTGTATAACGAATTCCTGTGCAGTGGATATAGGAGTTGGCTATATAGTTATTATCATCTAGTAGTAAAGGGTCCCATTCTTGTATCTTGTAGATATGCACCAATTCAGAAGGAACGAACAAAGAACTGATATTACAGAGATAAAACAATCAATATTCAATGGATAACTCATCTCAGCCAATCAAAAGACTCCAGAGAGTAACTTCCTCGAAATGTTGTATCTATAATAGCATCTATATCAACCAGGATTAAGACAGTAGTACTCGAAATAATAGAAGGATATCTTCCTTTCTTTGTTCCTATTTGTTCTCCATATAGTTTACTTTTATTACTTATGCCTTTTTTCTTAAAATCTTCTTATATCATCATAATCATCATCATCGTTGTCGTACTCTTTGTTGTTGTTATCATTACTAACTGAGAGAACAACAGTAGGTTAGGCCACTATTAAAAATACCTTCATGTAAGATAAACCTCTAAACGCACGGAGTTTCCAACTTATGATATTCCCAAGTATATAGAACAGATGTAACTTTCAGCTCGACTTAGGTGACGCATCCTCAAACAGGAAAAAACAAGGGCCTAAAGGTGTTGTAGAGTAGTTTCACAGTGGAGGTTTGTATTTGTACTAAGTCGGTCCTAAAATAGGTTCGACGTACAAAACGTTAGGAACTTGATATAATAGGTAATGACGCAGAGAAATCTAGTGGTGGTCGCTGAAACTTTTAGTATCCGACTAACAGTCGTCCGACACCGACTGATTGACCAACTTCCTGAGCGACTGGCGAGTGTTACTACTACTACTACTTATTATAGGTGGGAGAGTCTATTAACAATAGAATAGGTGTGTTCCACTATAACAAAAGGGCTGGGTATCATAATGCCCCCCCACCTCGCACCAGCTACACTCGCTCATGAGGAGAGCAACACGACGCTGTAACTATTGAGGGGCAACTCTGTGGAACTGAACAGGCCATTTTAAATCGTCAATACAAAACTTTTACATGTTAAAATTCTAATAAGCTACGAGCTGGTGTATCGTCATTATTATTTATTGTGAGACCGGAAACTACCTACACAATAGACTCTTCCAGACCTATATTAAGTAGGCGACATACCACTCTAGAGAGTGATATATTAAGCTCCGCTTACACTATCTCTCTAACCTGTTGTTAATATATCTTTCTTACATCTAATCCGTGTTCCGTGTTTTCCTTCTGTGCTCCCAACTTTGGCCCCACATCAGTGGCGACGGGGATTCTAGAAACGCACTCACGGCGAAACCTAAATACCTTACCAATCCCACATTTGTGTCGACGAAGTATTCTAGAAACGCATTCACGTCGAAAAACCGCAATACCTTGCCAGTCCCACAACAGTGGCGACAGAAAAGATTCGAGAATTTCGTTCTCCTCATATCAATAGCGACAGTACTCGAAAAATACACAAACTCCACGCGTTCCCACAGCAGTGTTGAACGTGAAATTAAGCTGGTATTAATACATCAGCGATTTAAAATCTAAACACCCAGCATCTATATATATTCTGTCCAAAATACGAGAAGGATTTCTACACACCCACACACACAGGAAAAAAAAACAGTTGTTCGTAAAACAAACTAACAATACAAGAGCAAGTACTACCATTGTACTCAAGTTTTCAGAAAAAACTATCGAAAATTTTTTTATGTAACTGAGTTGATCTCGGGCATAAAATTATTCTCCCCTCAAATTCACTGAGGTGTGTTTTCTCTTTTTCATACATCTAAAAAAAAAAATTAAATAAGTGTGAAAATTTATTCAATTACATCAAAATTAACGGAACCAAGGAAAAAAAAAGCTAAACACATAATTAGTTTAACTAATTGTCTGTCCATATTTTTTTTTCTGTAAAAGAAAAAAAAGGAACAAAAATCTATCAAAAAATTTGTGTACCTCCTCTTAGTACACGTGTTTCAAAGCAACAAAAAAGCGCTGTAATTTTTAAACATGGAAGATTTACAAAAAGTGGTTGCCCAAATGTTAAAACTAAATTTGGATCAGCAACAAAAATCAGAAGAAAGACAACAACAACTATTTTTGTATTTACATAAACAACAAATGGAATTCCAAAAAATTACGCTTCAGAATACTGAACTACAACAGAAACAACTTAAAGAATTACTCGTAAATGCATTAAAAGGCTCAAACTCTAAAAAGATACAATATTCTCCCAGAGTATATTTTTAATTCAATGGAAACATTTGAATATGTACCAGAGGAAGACAAAACGTCCCAGGCCTTTTACAGGCGCTATGAAGATATTTTCAACGTAGACTGTGAACAATGGCCCAGTAAAAAAAAGGTACGTCTACTATTGAGAAAACTGGGAACTACAGAACATAGTAGATTCGTAGACTTCATACTACCCAAGAAAATGACTGACTTGGATTTTTCAGAGACTATTAAGCTCCTATCGGAAGTATTCGGGCCTAACACAACCTTGTTCCACAAACGTTGGAAATGCCTGAACCAGCAAGATTTTCTAACGTTTGCAGCATCGGTAAACAAGCTATGTAATGATTTTAAACTAGCCGAACTGACTGCCGATTATTTTAAGTGCTTAATTTTCGCACAAGGTCTAGTATCAGCAGAAGACACCGAAGTCAGACCACGGGTACTGACCAAGCATGACAACGAACAAGGATTGACTCTCCAAAAACTGGCAGATGACTGTCAAAGAGTAATATCTCTAAAGTGTGACTCAAACACTATCGTGTGACTCTGATTAATAAAATCAGAAGTAAGTCTACCTCCTATTCCCCTCAAAAAGACAAAAGGCAAATCTCATGTCCTAAATTACGCAGTAACCAAAACCCAAATAGGTTAAAGAAACCGCCCGGACCATGTTACCATTGTGGTAAATGGCATTGGATGAAATTCTGTCCAGTTAAAACAAAAAATATTGCAAAAATTGCAATAAAAGTGGGCATACGCCAACAGAACGAGAAAACCCAAAACTAAAATTAGGCAAGCTCAATCTGACAATATTTTCGATAGGAATTTGAGAAAATATGTAACTCTGGATATTTTCAATAATTCCAGCTTGACTCGGCTTCCGATCTTTCAACCATTAACTGGCGTACTTGGCGAAAATTGAACAATCCGACCTTATTAAAAACGGATAAAACAGCAAAATCCGTAACTGGCGAAAAGATTAACATTTTAGGCGAGGTAATACTTACAGTAACACTAAATGGAGTTACTACAAAGCTCAAAGCCTATGTATTGAAAACTTCAGTTAACTTATTTGGAACAGATTGGATAGAAAAATTCAATCTTTGGGATTGCCCAATGAGTACATTTTGTCGCAAGATACAAAGTACAACGTCCAATTTGGTAAATCTCAAAAAGGAACTCAAACAACAATTTCCCCAGGTTTTTTCTGGCGGCCTTGGGAAATGTACTAAAATGAAAGCTAAGTTTAAGGTGAAGGACGGTGCACAACCGGTATTCAAAAAGAAACGGAATGTCCCTTTCGCTGCTCTAGAGCAAATCAACAAAGAGTTAGATAGACTCGAACAAGCAGGTATTCTGTCAAAGACAGATTTCAGCGAGTGGGCATCACCTACGGTCTACGTAAAAAAGAAGTCCAACCAAATACGAGTATGCGCAGATTTTTCCACAGGGTTAAACGATGCCTTGCAAGATCACCACTATCCTCTCCCAAGCCCTGAAGAAATTTTCAGTAAACTCAATGGTGGAAAATTTTTTTCTAAAATCGACCTCTCGGACGCATACCTTCAGATAGAGGTGGAGGAAGAAAGTTTCAAATTGCTCTGCATAAACACACATAGAGGGTTGTTCAAATACAACAGGCTGGCTTTTGGAGTAAATGTTGCGCCTGCAATTTTCCAGCAGGTCATGGACGCCATGCCGGGCGATCTTGACTACGCAACAGCCTATTTGGATGATATGCTGGTTACCAGTAAAACTATGGCAGAGCACTGGAACCATATAATAAACGTATTCGAAAAGATACAAGAAGACGGATTTAAGGTCAAGGAAAGAAAGTGTGACTTTTTCTTACTTGAGATTAAATACTTAGGATACATTATCAATAAAGATGGTCGTCGGCCGGACCCAGAAAGAGCCAACCCGATCAGAAACATGCCGGCCCCAGATAACGTTCAAGCGTTACAAAGCTTCCTCGGCCTAGCTAACTTTTACCAAGGGTTCATTAAGAACATGCAAAATTTGAGAGGGCCTCTCAACCAACTTTTAAAAAAGGACAAACCATGGTCTTGGACCCCGGAATGCCAAGACGCATTCGAGAAGATCAACAAAACGCTTACTTCAGACCTCTCCCTCACACATTTCGACCCTAGTCTCGACATCATAGTCGCAAGTGATACAAGCTCGTACGGCATAGGCGCTTGCATATTACATAAACTGCCAGACGGTTCGCGAAAATATGTGGCTCATGCATCAAGAT